GGCGTCCTTGGACGTCTGGAGGCCATCTTCAGCATCTCGGAGCCCTCTTGGAGGCCTCTTGGAAGTTTCTTGGGCCGTCTTGGGCGCTTCTTGGGCCGTCTTGTCTGACCGGGGAGGCCTCCGGCAAGCCCCGACGAGCCTCCGGGCCCCCCGGGGTGCACATTTGCGGTCGGGGTCCCGGCCCCGGGCCCCCGGACCCGGCGCGCCGTTATATGTATATGTGTATATCGATGTATGTATGTATGTATGTATGTATGTAGGTAGGTAGGTAGGTAGGTAGGTAGGTATGTTGTATGTATGTATGTATGTATGTATGTATGTATGTATGTATGTATGAAATATATGTATTCATGTATGTATGTATGAATGCATGCATGCATGGCTGTATGGTTTTAAGTATGTATGTTTGTATGCATGTACGTATATATATATATATAAATATGTATGTACATTTACATAACGGTACCTCCAGGAGTTTGCGCCAGCTGTCGTTGGACAGCTGGACGCAGTTGATGTAGCTGTGGCCGTCCTCCAGCGGCTGCACGAACGGGATCTCGATCAGGTGATCGAGATCGCTTGATGGGGTGGGTGCCGCTGTGGATGCCGCCGAGGCTGTTCCCTGCTGCTGCTGCTGCTGCTGCTGCTTCTGCTGCTGCTGCGGCTGCATCGCGCCCAGGCTGCTGGGCGAAGGTCCACCAGAGGGGACTCGAACATAAAAATGCAGCCGAAGGAGGGAGGGAAAATCAGCACGTCTGAATAAACCAACATGTATAGTGTATATTCAACACGCATAGATGTTTCCACGCATTTTCAACATTCGACATCGTATGTAATGATATACATATTGGTGCGTGCGCATGTAGTTTTTGATGTTGCATAATCGTGCGTGTAGTGATTCAGCCCGGGAGACCCTCAGGGGCGACGGCCGCCCTCCCGCCCGGCCCGAAGAGCGCCCCGGAAGAGCACGATCGGCCCTCCATCGGCCACAGCAGCCAGCAACATCCGAGGGCCCCCCGAGGGCACCCGACAGGCACGGAGAGCACCAAGGAGGCCCTCTCCGAATCGACCTCGATCTGAGACCTCGGTCCGACTGCATAGACAAGCGCGCTCCACCACTCGCAGAGTAGCTCCTCGCAGACGGCACGAATCGGCACCGGGGGAGCTACCGTGACCCATTGCAGCGAAGATGGCTTGACTTTCTTGACCGATCGTTTGCGAGTATAGGCACGTTGCGAATAGTGGAACGCGCTCGCTGACTCTGGGAGGGTCAAGCCGTGGCGAGGAGCCTTCACGCGGCAGCAGACATGCGAAACACGCCGTCTCGCCAGGCCCTCCTCCGACGGGAGCGCGCCGCCCCACCCCCCCCCGGACGGCGCCATGCACTGACCGCGGAACGGCCCCAGATACGAGAAGCGTCGTCTCGCCAAGCCTTCCTCCGACTGCTGGGGGTCCCCAAACCGTGTGGTGACAGGCCCGGCGGCGACCTCGAAATCCGCAAGGACCTCACCGCAGGGCCCAGCACCACCCGGTTTTGGGACCCCGGAGGCCCCAGTCGCCGGAGGCGTCCTCGGAGGACGACCCCAGTCCCAGAACCGTGCGGTTACCCCGAATCCCCACCGACTCACCACGCGGTGTGGTCACCAGCCCGTTTGGGGGCCCCTGGGGACGGCGCCTGGCACTCCTCGCGGAACGGCTCCAGATACGAAAAACATCGTCTCGCCAAGCCTACCTCCGACAGGAGCGCCCCCCCCCCCTGGCCCCGAGAAGAACATGTCTTGAGGCACTGGAAAAAACGTTCCGACTCCAAGCCGGCCAGTCGGGGGTCGGCCCATCGGCCAAAATCGGCCAGTCGGCCAGTCGGCCGTGGAGGGGGGGAGTCGCATAAATGATCCTAGGTCGGGCACGTCCGAGAGAAACGGCAAACAGTCAAAAACATACTCAAGCAGCCCAAGATATCAAAACACACCGTCCCCATAGCTTACTCCTACTACTTTTGTAGACTCCGCCTGCAGAGGGACGGGCACGATGTGAAATTCATCCTGGCGCCCCAGGAACTGCCCAACTGCCCCGCACGGCGCCTTGAACTGGTCGTGGAAAGGCTCCAGCGCCGGGTTGCGGTGGCAGTTGCTCCTGGCGCCCCCCCCGCGCCGGCCACGATGGGGCCCCTCCCGGCATGGGGGGGCCAGGGGCGCTCCCGGCCCCTGGGCGGCTCGCACCCGTCGGTGGGACGAGGAGGGCGAGAACAGGAAGTGGGAAGGCCGACGGAGAAGATTGGGTGCATGACTGCCTACCAGACCACCACAGCCCAACCCGAAGACCCGAATTTCGGGTTGGGGGGGGGGTAAGGGTTCCACATGTGTCGTTTCGATGCTACCCGACCCCCCCCAATGGAAATCGAGGGTAAGTCAGTCTGAGCCTTCGGGTTGGGTTGGGGTGGTTTGGTGGGTGGTGAGTTCAGGCCGTCCCAGAGAACAACAAAACACCACATCAGCATCATATCGAATATCGATTCTTGAGGGGTAGGCAGGCGCTGAAGGTGGATTGGGGTCTGGGAATCCATCAACACCCTCTTTCGACGACCTGCGTGGCCCCTGCGTAAAGGGGCCCTTTGGGTCTCAAGAGGAGGCCTCTAGGGGCCGAACAGTGTCATTGTCATTTGCTTGCGATGTTGTCTCCACTGGACTTTCTACTCAGGAGGGTAGCAGTCGCCATAAAGAAACATCTGATGGGGGGTCCTGGAGGCTCTGGTTTGCCCCAGGGCGCAAATTGGAACGCCATCATACGACCAAGGGAGCCCAATACGACCGAGAGAGCCCAAGAGAGCCCAAGAGTCCGAGGAGGGCATGACGAGTCCAAGACGGCCGAAGATTTCGAAAATGCCGGTGCGATGGACCTGCGAGAGTTATAGAAGCCACCTGGAGAGCAAACAACACTCGAAAGCTAGGGGAAGAGGCGGATGGAGAAGAGTGCGGGGGCTGGAGCGAAACAGGCATCCAAGTGGGAATACGATCGGGAAATGCTGCTTAGCGTGTCGCTGCGGCATGGCCCCAGCGACACGCGACGCCCTGCGAGCGGATAGCGTGTCGCCACTCGCCACTCTCCGCGGGGCGGGAGAAGTGGGACATTGACGCTCGGGACTTGGACGTGGATTGGGGAAAGCAAATGGGACCGATACCGCCACTCCCCGGGCCTCTCCCGGGGGGCGTTCCGACAAGGATTTCGAGGCGAATCCAGCGGTGGCGACGAGGGCCTCCGAGGAGGCCCAAAAAGGGTAAAACGAGGGAAGGGTAGAGGTATGGGTACCTGTTCCTACTCTGATGGATAGCGTGTTGCTCCAAAACGTGGTGGGCCAGAACTGACCACAAGCTGATCCAAACTTCCTGACCGTCATCAGGCATCCGAGGGGGTTTATGCCGTCACCATGTCTCCGCTGCCCGCCCAGCCACATGGCCGCGCAGGACCAGAGGGACCGATTAAGGCCCCCGACGTGATTGCTCTCACATAGAGGCCCCGGGTCGGAGTAGATGGGGTCGCAGGATCGCGCCGCGTCGTCAATGCACCACCGATGCATCGACGATCGGCGACGTCGACGATGCATCGGCGACGTCGGTGTGGAGAAAATCGGGCTCCGCATCTAAACTCATCGCGAACGGGTCGGCAACAGCGGCGCGATCCTCCGACCCCACCCTGCTCGGACCCCATACGGCAGGCCTGGAGTAATTTCGGGGGGCATATTGAGCAGGAACCGACAGTCCTGGCTTTCCTGTAGTCCTACCACGACATGCTCTTCGAACCCCAACCAGTTCTGAGAACACAAACAATGCTCTTAGAACATCAACCCGATGTGATAAAACAAGACAGTCCCAGCCAGAAATGTTCCAAGAACATTTCGTGCAGACCACCAGGACGCTTCGCCACTATTTGAGCATAACTCGGGCCTGAGGCGGCCGTCCGGAAGGATTCTGACACCCCCGGGACGCCGTCGACGAGGCGCAGATTGCCAGAGAGCACGCCGAGGCTGGAAAACACTTGAGAACCGACAACAACCTCGAGAGCACTTGCGAAAAATCCTCCTGCGACACCGCCTGCTCGTGGGCCCGACCGGCTCCTCTCCCCGAGCCGCTGCGTGACGGCCCCCGGGGCCCAGCAGGAGCCCCCCGAGGCCGGAAGCGGTCCCGCCGCCACCCTCTCCTGAGCAGGGACCGGCCGTCCCAGTGCTCCCTGCAGGCCTACCACGAAACGCTCTCAGAGCCCACACGTGTCCCGAGAGCAAGAACCCGGTTCGCAGAACACGGACCTGATGAGTTGAAACGAGCCAGCCTCCGCCAGAAGCGCTCGGAGAACCTGCCGTGCAGCCCACCAACGAGCTCCGAGGACGTTCCTCGGTGGTGACTGCACAGGCAAGCCAGGGCCGGACGCGCACAGGCAAGCACAGGTGGGACTGCACCTCCTCCGCGCGTGGGGCGCGCGCTCCGCCATGCCCCCCAAGGCCCGACGGGATAACGAAGAGGAGGGGGAGGAGAAGAGCAGGGGGAGGAGGAGAAGGAGGAGGGCGAGAAGGGACGAGGGCAGCGAAGGAACGAGCGAGGGGAGGAGGAGGAGGAGCAGGGGGGGGAGGAGGAGGAGGAGGAGGAGGAGGAGGAGGAGTAGGGGAGGAGGAGGAGGAGGAGGAGGAGGAGGAGGAGGAGGAGGGAGGAGGGAGGAGAGGACGGACGAGGAGGAGGACGGGAGTCGCCCCTGCCCGACCCTCGGAAGGGGGGCGCCGCGCGCGGCCCTGCCGCCCCCGGGCGCGCGGCCGCCGCCGCCCCGCGCCCGCTGCACGCTCGAACGCCCCACGGCGGCCGCCGGCAGGGCGCAGGCGCGCGGCCCCCGCCGCCCCGCGGGCGGCGCCCGCGGCGCGGCCCGCGCGCGAGGAGCCGCCCGCGGCCCCCCCCGGGCGAGGGGGCGCGAGCGCTGCCCGCGCGCGGGGGGGGGGGCGGCGGCGCCTCGCCCCCGGCACGGCGCGCGCGGCGCGCGCGGCGGGGCGCGGCCTGGCCCCCCGCGCCTCAGGCGGCGCAGGCGGCGCGGTCTCTCTCGGGCGTGGCGTTCTCGCGCCGGCCGCGGAGCTCGGCCCTCGGGGACGCCGGCGGCGCGGCGCTGGTGCCGCCGCAGTCCTCGCCGCCGTCCTCGCCGTCGTGGTTGCTGTCGCTGCTCGCGGCGGAGGCCTCGACCTCCAGGTGCCTGTGGTTCCGCGCGTGCTTGGCCGGTGCGCCCCTGTCGCCCTCGAGCACCACGAGCACCGGGTCGCGGTACAGCGCGGGGACGCTCTCAGAGAGGACGATCACCTTCAGGTAGGCGACAAAGGGCACCGACAGCAGCATGCCGGTGGGGCCCCAGATGAGGCCGAAGAAGGTCACGGCCAGGAGGATGATCACGGGGTGCATCTTCATAAGGCGGTCGGCCTCCACGAGCTTCACCTCGACCACGTTGGCGAACACGAACTTCAGCATCAGCTGGCAGCCAGTGGCCAGCGCCAGCGTGCCCCCAGGCGCGTCCTGGCGGCTGTCGAAGAGGATCACCGGCATGGGCAGCAGGATGGCGGCAAATGCGCCCACCTCGGGCACGAAGCTCAGGAGGAAGGCGGCGAGCCCGAAAAAGGCCGACAGGTCCACGCTTAGGACGCTGAGCAACACGCCCACGCAGATGCCGTACCCGGCGCAGGCCAGCCCCTTCAGGAGGATGTAGCGCCGGAAGAGCTCCTCGACCTTGTTGCCCACGGGCATGGGGTTCGCCAGCCAGAACGAGATGTAGAGCACCATCATCAGGAACTCCAGCACGCTGCTCCATATGTTGCTCAGCAGGCGGGTGACCATCGTGGACACCAGGTCCTCGGCCTGGCGCAGCGTGCTCTGCGCGATGCTGTCCGCCATCTCCTGCGAGAGCGTCCCGGCCACGTTGCCCACTTCACGCTCCAGGAACTTGGACACGTCCCTTGCCCCATCTCTGTAGATGTTCCAGTGCTCCTTGAGGCTCATCACCTCAGTTGATGTTAGAAACACTGTGTTTGTTCGATGCTTCGGTTTTCTGCCGTACAAAACGGGGGACTACACGGCAACGCGAAACACAACAAACTAACAGTGCAAAACGGATCGGATCCGAAAACAGCGACTAAGAGAATCCCGAACAGAACAGAACAAGTATTCACTGCGTGGAGCTCCCCATCTGCACATCTATTTGCATGGGCGTTTCCGCCGTGTGTCTAGACGCAACAGTATTCGAATATAAGCGGGCTTGGGTATTGACAGACTGGGAGCGAATCTAACTGAGAATGAATTGGAATGTGAATGCGCTTCACGGTGGTACGGGTGAGCTTACGCGCGTGTGAGCAGGTCTAAACTCAGAATCGGTGTATCTGCGCGCAAGAGGCCTGATCATGACCGGGCGTGACTGAATCTAACTCGCTGAGCTGGCTATGAGGGGGGGAGGGAGCCGATGAAGTTACGTTTCGCGCCGGCGGCGTCTGGCAATGCCCAGGAATGCCTAGGAATGACCGATGACGGGTAGCAGCACCATGTAGGTGGCGATCTGCACCACAGCGCACGTGTACACCACACTGTTCGCGTGAACCACAGCGCCTGTGTACACCACACCGAATGTGTACACAACAGCAGCCGCGTGCAACACAGCGCTAGTGTCTGCCACAGTGCCTGCGTGCACCATAGCGCTCGTATACACCGCAGCGCCCGCGTACACCACATCAGCCGTGCGCAACGCAGCGCCAGTGTACACCACAATGCCCGCGTGCACCACAGCGCCTGTGTACACCACGGCGCCTGTGTGGACCACAGAAACCGTGCGCAACAGAACACCACTGTTGCATGTAGAATTTTAGAAGGAATCCTTATGACAACATGGAGCGCCTGCGGATTCCACAGATTAGAAGCTTTGGATCAAGGATCTGGAACGGAATCCTTATGGAAAAAGCCGCGCCGCTGGAATCTACGAGTCCTTCCGAATCCTCCCGCATCATCCTAACTCCCCCCATCTGCCACCAGAAAGCTCCCGCTGAGTTGACCGTCGGAGAACCAAGTGGACTGATTTAATCTACCATTCTGCGGTGCACGCTGAAATGCGCACGTGCGGTGTAGCGCCGACCCGCACGACGGGGAGAAGGGTGAAGGAGGAGGAGGTGGAGGTGGAGGAGGAGGAAAGGAGGAGGGATGAGGGAAGAACATCGCATCCCATTATCAGCACTTCCCTGGCGTGGTGTTTAGTTGTCCACAGCAAATCCTGACTTACATGCTCCTTCTACCTGTCCTGTGCACGCAGGCATCGTGGTGTACACCAGCGCCGCGTTGCATGCGGATGCTGTGGTGCACACAGGCGCTGTGGTGTGCACAGGCGCTGCGGTGCACAAAAGCATTGTGGTGTACAAAGGCACTGTGTTGCACATGGCTGCTGCGGTGTACACCTTCGCTGTGGTGTACACAGGCGCTGTGGTGCACGCGGGCACTGTGGTGTACACAGGCGTTGCGTTACACACGGCTGGTTGCGGTGTACATAGGCGTCGTGGTGAACACAAGCGCTGTGGTGCACGCGAGCCCTGTGGTGTACACAGGCGCTGTGTTGCACATGGTTGCTGCGGTGTACACATTCACTGTGGTCTACACAGGTGCTGTGTTGCACAGGGTTGCTGCGGTGTACACATTCGCTGTGGTGTACAAAAGCGCTGTGTGCATGCAAGCACTGTGTTGTACACAAGTGCTGTGTTGTACATGGTTGAGGCGGTGTACACAGTCGCTGTGGTGTACAAAAGCGCTGTGTGCACGCAAGCACTGTGGTGCACACAGGTGCCGTGTTGTACATGCTTGCTGCGGTGTACACAAGCGCTGCGGTGTATACGCGCGCTGTGGTTCACGCGAACACTGTGGTGTACACAGGCGCTGCTGCGGTGCAGATCGCCACCTACATGCTGCTCCTGTTTGGCCTCGGTCATCCCTAGGCATTCGCGGACGCCGCCGGCGCGGAACCTGACATTATCTAGGGCGGGAGGGGGGGGGGACGGGGCCGATAACGGCCGCGATCCTGCAAAATAATATGTTAAAAACGTTATTGTGTCTCGTTTGCTGGCCCAGAAAATCTCACGCAGCGACTGGACAGTGATGCAGCAAGCCACGCCACGGAGAGGAAAGGACCGGTCTATGGGAACATACGTAAAATCCGCCGCACCCCTTGTGGGGCCACCAGGCTGTAGGCCGAAGTTGCTGCTCCCTGCACCAGTTGCAGTTTCAGTTCAAGTCTCCAATGTTACAATCCTGCATTCTGCTTCATACTGAAAACCGCTAAAGTCCGCGCAAAGGGGGGAGCCCCAATAGAGCAATGGACCACGCCCGGTTCGCGTTGCCTGAATTCCCGGGGGGAGGGTTGTGGGACACTTGAAAATATATAAGATTCGCGCCCCCGAGGCCATACATAACCTCTCGCGAATTACACAAGATTCGCGTCCCCGAGGCCACAAACCCTAGCAAATGATTCAATGATTGCGTCCCCGAGACAACAATCCCTGGTGCATTATACAATATTCGCGCCACCGAGACAGCAAACCGTTGCAAATTGCAAAATGCTCGCGTCCCCGAGGCCATACTCCTTGCAAATTACACCATATTCGCACTGCCGAGGCCGAGAGTGCTCCAAGGTGCCCGAAGATGGTTTCAAGACGGCCCACGAGGGTCCGACAGGCCCCAAGAGCGCTTCAAGAGGCTACGTGAGAGATTCCCAAGAGGCCCAAACGGTCGATTTGACGGAGGTGTTTGAAGGATTTTGGCCTTCTCGCACTTTCGGCTTCCAAGACAGCTCAAGAAGCTCACAAGGCTGCCCCAAGCCAGCCCAAGAGGCCTCCAAGAGGGCCCCAAGACGGCTCAAGAGAGCTCCAAGATGGCCCAAGAAGCGCTCAAGACGGCCCAAGAAGGCCCTAAGACGGCCCCAAGAGGAGTGCAGGGGACCACGAACCGAAAATGTTATATTTGTGCCCGAGAAGCCCCCAGGAGGCCCCTAGAAGCCGCCAAGACGCCCCAAGAGGCGCCAAGAGGCGCCCAAGACGCGCCCAAGAGGCCTCCAAGAGACCCAAAAGATTCTCCACGAGGCCCGAAGAGGCCCCCAAGAGGCGCCCAAACCGGCTCCCAAAGGTCCCCGAGAGGCTCCCCACGACACAACAACACGTATACAAGAGGCCTTAGACCCAAAACCCAGGCACGGTGGCAAGATTGGCCGAAAGCCACCAGGATCCGCCGCCCCCTGTTGGTTGGCTTGCCACAGGGGTGCCTGGCGTGCTAAATCCTATGGCTCTTGGTTTTGGTTATTTGTCCAAAAGAACTCTCTCCCCTGGGCCTTCGGCCCGTCCCCCCGGCCACCCAGAAGGTCGCACAAAGGACCACAAAGGCACCACATAGGACATCAACGTCCCCCAAAAAATCCTCCAAGACGGCTGGAGATGGCCTCCAAGATGGCCACGCTGGCCCAAGATGGCCTCCAAGATGGCCTCCACGATGGCCTTCAAGGTGGCACAAGAGGGTCCAAGATGGCCCACGAGGGCCCAAGAGGTGCCCAGGAGGCCTCCAAGACGGCCCAAGAGGCCTCCCATCCAGAAGGCCCGAGGAGGCCAAAAACATTGATTTTCCGTGGGTGTTTGAAAGATTGTGGCATTTGCTTCTTTTCGGCCTTCCGACGGGCCGAGACAGCCCAAGAGCCCCAAAGATCGCCCGAGAGGCTTCCAAGATGGCCCCAGATCGGCCCAAGAGGCCCCCAAGACCGCACCAGAACGGCCCAAGACGGCCCAAGAGGCCTCCAAGACGCCCAAGAAGGCCCCCACGACGGCCCTGGAGCACCCCACGAGGGCCCCCAGTCGGCCCAGAGAGGCCTCCAAGACAGCTTCCGACGGCGTCAGACGGGCCAGGAGCCCACCAAGACGGGCCAAGATGGCTCTAAGATGGCCCAAGACGGCCCAAGAGGCCCCCAAGAGGTCTCCAAGACGGCCCAGAAGGCCTCCAAGAGGGCCTACTGGACGGCTCGAAAATGCCCAAATCGCTGATTTGCCGTAGGTTTCTTGAAAGATTGTGGCACCCGCTCCTTTCCGGTATTCCGACGACCCGGGACGGCCCAAGAGCGCAGAAAGATCGCCCAAGAGGCCTCAAAGATGGCCCCAGATCGGCCCAAGAGCCCCCAAGACCGCACCAGGAGGGTCCCCAGACGGCCCAAGAGGCCTCCAAGACGCCCAAGAAGGCCTCCAAGACGGCCCTGGAGCACCCCAAGCCAGTCGACCCAGAGAGGCCCCCAGGACAGCTCCCGACAGCGTCAGACAGGCCAGGAGCCCACCAAGGCGGCCCAAGATGGCTCTAAGATGAGCCAAGACGGCCCAAGAGGCCCCCAGAGGTCTCCGAGACGGCCCAAGAGGACTCCAAGAGGGCCTCCAGGAAGGCCCGAAAATAATTAGGTCATTGAAGGAGTTTGGCATTTGCTTCTTTTCGGACTTCCGACGGCCCGAGACGGCTCAAGCGCCCAGAAACATCGCCCAAGAGGCCTCCAGGATGGCACCAGAACGGCCCACGAGGCCCCCAAGACAGCCCCATAAGGGCCTCCAGACGGCCCAAGAGGCCTTCAAGACGCCCAAGGTGGCCTCCAAGACGGCGCTGGAGCACCCCCAGAGAGGCCCCCAAGACGGCTTCCGAAGGCGTCAGACCGGCCCGTGAATGCCCCGGGACGGTCAAAGAGACTTCCGAGAAGCTTCCAAAGGCCCCCCAAAGACCCAAGGAGGCCCCCAAGATGCCGCCAAAAGGCTCAGAGGAAGCTCCTGGGAGGCCCCTTGAGTACCCCCAGAGGCTCCCAAGATGCCCCCTCCTCCTCCTCTTCCTCCTCCTCCTCCTCCTCCTCCTCCTCCTCCTCCTCCTCCTCCTCCTCCTCCTCCTCCCCCTCCCCCTCCCCCTCCCCTCCTCCCCCCCCCCCTCCTCCTCCTCCTCCTCCTCCTCCTCCTCCTCCTCCTCCTCCTCCTGATCCTCCTCGTCCTCCTCCTCCTCCTCCTCTCTCCTTCTCCCCGCCCTCCGTCTCCGTCTCCTCCTCCTCCTCCTCCTCCTCCTCCTCCTCGTCCTCCGCCTCCTCGTTCTCCTCTTCCTGATCTTCCCTGCCATCCCCCCAAAACGTTCCCCGAAGGGTTTCCAGAACGGTTGGGGGAACGCATGGCCCCATATCTTGGCAGAGCTCTTGACACAACGCTCGGCTACATGGGCGATTTCAAAAGGCAGGGGGCGGCGGTGATTCGCCGTAGGCGTCTTCGATAACGCCAACGTCTCAATATGCGCTGATGATTCCTATCCGTCCCCGCATGATGTTCCCAGATGCGCCAAGGCAGCGCCGAGACGCACCGACGCGACTTTGACATATCCCATTATGATAGATAGGGGGCCGGCGGCAGGGGGCGAAGCCCTCACGGAGACAACAAGGAGTCGTGCCACAGGAGAGGCCCAATCCACAGGAACAAAAGGAAAGCACCCACACCATTCGTGCACCAGGGAAGGTGAGAGGCCGAACCGATAGGAACAACATGAAAACATATGTTGGATTGAGGCCACAAGAGAAGAACAAACCACACGTAAGACTCCACGGATGCGCGCCCCGGGAGAAGCCCAATATATATATATATATATATATATATATATATATATATATAGGGGCATACCCAAAACAAACAGGATTGGAGCCCCTCCTGTGGCCTCCTGGGGCCTCTTGAGGTTTCCTGGAACCTCTGGGAGCCTCCTGTGGCCTCCTGTGGCCTCCTGTGGCCACCTGGGGCGTCCTGCCTGGGGCCTCCTGGAGCCTCTTGGGCCTCCAGGGGGCCTCCAGGCGCCTCCTGGGGCCTCCTGGAGCCTCATGGTGCCTCCTGGAGCGTCATGGAGCCTCCTTAAGTCTCCTGGGGAGGATCCGTGCTCCAAGAGAGGCCCGATCTGTAAGAAAATGCGTAACAAACATAGGATTGGAGCCAAACGAGCGGGGCAATCTACAGTAACATACGTAACGCACAACGGATTGGTGCCCCAAGAGAAGCCCAATATATCGGAACATACGTGAAACACATAGGAAGCCGCTCGATGCATCCTCGCAATCTGGACCCCCTGGGGTGCGAACACCAGCGCCTCGTCTGAGACAGCATCAGCATCTGCTCCCAAAAGCCGATGATGTTTGGTAGGCAAACGGGCGAGCCGTCCCAGACATCCCCGCAAGATGGGCGCGAACGCGGGCATGAGATGAGATACTCCCTGGCGGCCCCTCCCCCTCGGGGGTGCTGAAACCAGCGCCTCGCCCGAGACGTCCTCAAACGCTGCTCTGAACGCAGATGGGTCTGGCCACCAAACCACGCAAACCGCTCCAAGACATCCTCACAGTCTGGGCCCCCTGGGGTGCGACAACCAGCGCCTCGCCCGACACATCCTCGCACTCTGCTCCGAAAGCACAGGATGTTGGGCATGCAGACAGGCAAACCGTCTGAGACATCCCCACAATGGGCGCGAACGGAGGAATGAAATACCCCCCAGCGCCCCCCATTGGGTAGCGCCTGGCCCGAGACATCCTCAACATCTGATCCGAAAGCGGAGATTGCTGAGCACGCAAACAAGCAAACCGCTCGAGACTTCCCCACAATCTGGGTGCGAACGGAAGAGTACCATACCCTCTGGGGGCCTTCCTTGGGGGTGCTGAAGTCAGCGCCTCGAACGAGACATCCTCAACATCTGCTCCGTCATCCTCATCATCATCCTCCTCCTCCTCATCATCATCATCACCATCACCCTCATCCTCATCAGAATCATCAACAGCAGCAGCATCACCCGCATCATCACAATCATCTTTGTTTCGTGAGGAAGAGGATGAGGAGGGAGGTGAGAGAGAGGAGGCGGCGCGGTCGGAGGAAGAACAAGAACCCCATCCTCAGCACATGGTGGAAACAAAACACGGACCCCCAGAACGGGAAATCCGAAAAGCACACGCCGATCTTGAGAGCATAAAGTAGCGCCCCAGCGTTCTTCTGGAGGTAGGAAAAGGGGTGTGGCACAAAGGGGTGTGGTGCCAAAGCTGGATCTGGCGAGGTTATCCATCGTAGATAGCATCACCATTTCCACGATTGGCACCACACCCCTTTGTGCCACACCCCTTTCCAACCTCCAGCCTTCTGAACGTCATCTGAGCTCAGCACCGACTGAACTACCAGCAGCACGAAGGCCACGATGGAGCAGGCCACGGCGGCCACCACTATGACGATGGCCAGCGCGTGGAAGACGCGCCGCGGGCCCGCGCTCGCGCACGGCGAGTGTGCGACTCTCGGCGAGGCGACCTCGGCGTCGCGCGCGCGCGCGCCCACGAGAACGGCGGAGCACCGTGGGGTCGCCGGGGGGGGGCGCGCGCGCGGCGAGCGGGGCCGGCCGGAGTGGCGGGCGAGTGTCGAGGGGAGGGAAAGCGGGGGCCATGGCCAAGACTGAAGGTGGAACCGTCGTGTCCATCTTGGCCAACGTCGATCTCGGTCAGACCATGCCATAGATCGGCATCGGCATTCCCACTCCTCCGCCTCCTCCTCCTCCTCCTCGCGAATCAGCGACGGCCAACATGGACCATGACCAAGATCGGCACCGACACGACCCCGCGGCATCTTGGCCAGGGCCCCCCGCGCTTCCTCCCTCGACGGTGGGCGACAGCAGCGGAGCGGGCCGCAGCACGAGCCCTGGGCGTCGTGCCTCCACGAAGGATCGCCTGCGGAGCCAGCGGGCGCAGGCGGAGTACTCCCCGTGGCGAGGCCCGCGGGCGCCTCTTGCTTTTGGGCTCCGACACGCCCGCCCCCATGGAGGCCTCCTACAAGCCTCGTCGAAAATAAACAGAAACAAAGTTGGAAATCACGACGATCGATCTTCTCGGGCACTTGTTAGGAACTGCGTTCTTCAATGCTGCGGGGGGGTCGTCGGATTTTTGAAGCCCTTGCGTCCACGTCAGATATCTAGCGTCAGCATTGGAGTAGCGCTGACCATACAATCACCGAAAACAGAATCCCTCAGTTTATTTTTGACGAGGGTTGTAGGTGGGGTTCGAGTAGATGGGGTCGGGGGATCGCGCCAGATGGCCGATGCCATCGGCGATGCACCAGCGACGCATCGTCGATGTTGGCGGTGCCTCGGCAACGTCGACGTGAAGCAGATCGGGCTCCACATCTAGCCGCACCGGCGATGCCTCGTCGGTGCGGCGAGATCCTCCGACCCCATCTGCTCCGACCCCATCTAAGAGGCCGAAAGGCTTGGGGGCCCCAAGACCTCGGGAACGGCCAAGAGGGGGGTGTCCAAGAGGAGGGGGTGCAAATCATGACCGGCGGCATGTGCGCGGCCCAGCGGGGGGGCCAGGGACGTAATGAAATAAGAAGAGGCGCCATAACATCTGGGGAAATATCATGGCCCCCGCCATGATATCCAGCCCCCCCTAGTCATCACCCCCCTCTTTTCCGCCCCCGAGGACCACCAAGAACGGATCTGGGATGGAAGACTGCCCAGGAATCCGGCCGCGGCAGCTCCATTCAGACCACGCGGTGTCGCCAGATCTGGGGCGTACGAGGGCCAGCACAGATCGACCAAGCTCGAGCAATGCCGCAAACGGACGAGGCCTGCACGGGGCTATTCTTAGGCCGGGCATGTCCTCCTACAGGCACATCTTGGACGAATAACTGAACAGAGTCAGACAAAGATTCAAAAATCGTAGAAAGTTGGGGGGCGGAAAGATACGGATACGTGTTGTCCCCGGACCTCTCTTGGGGTGCGTTCTGACCAGAATTTCGAGGCGAATCCAGCGGTGACAACGAGGATTCCCCAGGAGGACCAGGAAAGGCCGAAAACGAAGGGGGACAACACGTATCCGTATCTTTTTCTCCCCCGAGAAAGTATTCGGAAATCGCCCCCCGACCCCTCCTACAGAGGGACGTGCCCGACGTAAGGCTATCCCGACCCCACCCGGGGGGCCTCGAGCCCAGGCGCACCCCCGGGAGGGCCTGCGCGCCGGGAGCCTCCGGGAGCTCCCCCGGGGGCTCCCCGCGAGTCGGGGTGCCCGCAAACAGGGGTTAGCGACCCATTTTGGACGCCCGAAATGGGTACTGAAAGAATTGGCACTATGCCCACGCTACAGCAGGAGCTCGACCACAAGAAACCTCCCACATAAAAAACCTAAGCCCCCTGAGACCAGGACGCCCATGGATGTTCAGCGGGAAAACGCCACGCCTTCCACAGCACAACCATGGAAACCCAAGAAACCCACCCTGGAGGCAAGCAGGGCTTTGGACGCCCGAAATGGGTACGGAAAGAATGGGCACAATGCCCAACAACAAATGTTGTCCCAAACCAACAGCGGCCGCTGTTGGGCAGGCGGCCTTCTGTCTCGAATGGACACAGGCCGCGGCGGCGTGGACAGCGAGTCCTGTTCAGAATGAACAGGAATTGCTGTTGAGCATCGTACCCATTCTTTCAGTACCCATTTCGGGCGTCCAGATCCATGGATCTCGGCGCGCGGTCGCCAAATACATGGATCGGGGGAGATGCCCTCCCCAAAATGCGGCCGGTGCCGCCTCGCTCGGCGGCGGACATCCGCGATGTCCCATGGAAACGGGGCCCGTCGCTAATCCACGCCCCCATCGATCCATGTTTGCGAACGCCTGACAGCGGAAGCAAGCTGTCGGGGATCTCCTCTTAGGTCGGGCGTGTCCCCCCTACAGGCGGATTTTGGACGAAGAATGAAAAGTAGTCCAAAGATGTTCAAAAATTGTCAAAAATGCTCCAAGCATCATCCTCATACTATTTTTCGACTACTTTTGAATTGTCCTCCTGTAGAAGGACGTGCCCGACTTAAATCTACTCGGAGGCGGGCGAGGGGGGGAAATGAGAAGGAAGCGGCCTTCTCAGGAGGCGGCGGGACTTCTCCGAAGAAAACTTCTCAGAAGGCCGGGAAACTTCCGAACCTTCTGAGAAGGCCTTCTCCTTCTCACCTCCCCCCCTCGCTCGCCGCCGATCTACTAACCCAGGGCAATCCAAACCCGGGTCAGTCAGGCCTCCCAGACCCCCCTCGCAATGTGACAAAAATCACGACGGGAATGTTTGTCGCTGTGTTCGGCCTCCAGGGGCCCTCGCCGGGCCCCAGAACCGTCAAGAAACGACTCAGGATGAAAAACCAGTTCCGGGGACGTGGACCAGACCTCTCGGGGTCGACGTTGTGAAAAAATCACGACGTCGGGGGCATGGGTTTGCAGGATCCTGCATGATCCTGCAGGATCCTGCGCTCGAGCCCGGATCAATGCGACCCTGGCCCTGCAGGATCCTGCAAGCTTTGGCGCACTGGCTGACCCCATTTGCATGGACCACCGTCTCTTGAGTCCCGAAGCTGGCCGGCAACACTGTGCTCCTGCAGGGGTCTGGTTGAGATCGCTGCGGCTCATTTGCACGATGCGGCTCATGCCCTACAGCACCGTGCACGATCGTCCCAAAATATATTGCAGCAGCTTCAAAGATTCAGAAACAGGTCATTCTAGCCAAAGGTGGATCTCGCTTCAGCGCCCGACGCATTCGCTTCACGTGACAGTCAAAAGAAGAGTGGGCAGCTCTTTCTCAACACGTGGTTGTAGCTATCGACTCCTAAGTGTCGAAGACGCAAAGCTTGAGCTCATGCAGCACTGCTCTTTTTCAGCATGATATTGCTTGATATTGCCTCTGAGGGAATGACTGCAAGCGCAAACATGCGCAATAGTTATACGGATGAGGGTAGCACGTCTTCGAAACGGGAATCTTGCTGGGCATCTCGGCCAATTATATGATCAGAGTTGTTTCGCATTCCTGACTATGCGTCGGACTGATGCACAACATTTCTTGTTCAAAGCGGTGCCCCGTCCAAACCGGCAGGCCGAACTGCGCTAGTCTTTCGGGGGAGCGCTCCTTGCAGTGAAAAAAGGAAAGCTTGGACGTGTGAGGGGACATGGGACGGGAGGTTGCCCTGCAGCATCGCTGATGCATCTTGGCTTTGCTCGGGTCCCCCTCCTCCTCCTCCTGCTAGGCTCCAGCACGCCCCGCCTGGCTGCCACAACGGCGCCGCGCACCAATCAGGCACCGGGCGGGGAACAACCTTCGAGCGGCCTCCTCCTCTTCCTGCTACAGCTCCTCCTCCTCCTCCTCCTCCTCCTCCTCCTCCTCCTCCTCCTCCTCACTCCCCCGCCTCTCTCCTCCTGGCCTTCCCCGCTCCGCACGTGACCCCCCTGCTCCAGCACCGACCCGCACGTGCTCCGACAATCACCTTGTCGATCCGCGGCCCTGGAGGTCAAGGCCCCCTCCCCTGGGTGTCGCTGCTGACCCTGACTACCTGCCAGACCACCCCAACCCAAGCCGAAGACCCGAATTTCGGGTTGGGGGGGGGTACGGGTTCCACGCGTGTTTTCTCGATGTTTCCTGACACCCCCCCACTAGAAATCGAGGGTAAATCTGAGCCTTCGGGTTGGGTTGGGGTGGTTTGGTGGGTGGTGAGACCCAGGCGCCGTTCTGGATCGTCCGAGGGCGCGCCGGCGGGCCCCGGAGGCCGAAGTCGGGGAGCACACACACCCGGTCAGGTGAGGTGGCCGTACGCTCAATGGCGCGTCGGCAGGCGCAGCATGATGAACGACAGACAGACAGACAGACACGCTCACATACACCCTGCGGAATGCTTAAGAAATCATGGGTTAAGAAATTCATAGTCTCAGAAATGGAATAAAACCCAGAACTTCTATCAAAATCTTGGGATTTATATATTGAAAAATTAAGAATAATCGAGACTCTGGACGATAACTGAGGTTTTCTTAAGCATCGCCTAGGGTGTACGCGCCGGAGGCGCGGTCCCTCTAGGAACGGAGCCGTGGCGCCGTGGCGCCGAGAATCTGGAATGAACTATGGGAAAACTCTAGCAATGCAGCGAGAAATATGGCACAAGAAGGACGGTCACTAGCGAAGGAAGGGGGGAGGGCACGCGCAAAGGAAAAAAAAAAAGGGGGCCCACGACGTCGGAGGTCTGGCCCCGTGGCAGAGGAAGGGAAGCAGCAGAAGCAGAAACTTCTGAGAGATCGCGCGGACTTCTCTGATGGGCGCCGGACCCCCTCCATGGCGCGCGGAGCGCGCCTGAGGCGGCGCCGGATCTCAGCAATCGTCGCGGACCGTCGGAACGTTCATGCTTATGTTGTTATGATTACTTTTTCTTATTTGTTCTTCTTCTGGGCCCCAGAAACGGCAGGGCCGTTTTTACCCGTTTTCAAAAAACTTATGAAAATGGAGGCGGTGAAGATAAAACGGCGCGACCAGAAACCGTAAAAGAACGGCTCTGGGATTGGAGCCCGAAATGGAGCCGGAAAGAAAAAAAACATAACAACAAACAAGAAACGACGGAACTAACTGGCAGAACGCGGCGACGGAACCGGCAACACAAGCGGCAGCTCGGGACCGGTAAAGAAACGGCCCCGTCGTTCCCGGGGCCCCCTGAGGCCTGCGCCTCCTCAAACTTGAGCAGGGACCGACCGTCCCGGCATTCCTAGAGTCATACCACGGAATGTTTTTGGAAACCAAAAGTGTTCTAAGAACAAACAACAATGTCCTTAGAACAGAAACCCGATGTGCTAAAACAAGACAGTCCCAGCCAGAAATGTTCTAAGAACTTTTCGTGGGAACCACAAAAAGTTATCAGAACATTGCCTGGTGGGGCTATAGGCGAGCCGGGACGCTTCGCCACTGCTTGACGAACTGCCCCTGACCTCCAGCCCTCTGGCCCGGCCAACACGCCCGCGCGCGAGCGGCGCGCTGGCCCGGGCCGGGCCCGCGGGGCCGCTGGGGCGCCCGCGTCCCCGGGCGCGCCGGCGGAGGGGGGGTCCTCTGCCGGAGGCGGCTGGGGGGGGGCCTTATAAAGTCAACGCGCCTAGTAAGGACGCGCGCCTCCTCCTCCTCCTCCTCCTCCTCCTCCTCCTCCTCCTCCTCCTCCTCCTCCTCCTCCTCCTCCTCCTCCCTTTCCTCCCCCTCCTCCCCAGGGACTCCTCCCCCTCCTCCTCCTCCTCCCCCTCCTCCTCCGCGCCTAGTAAGGGTGCCCTTGTGTCCTTGCCTCTGAGGCCCGTCCTTGCCATGATCGCTGGTCGCCCGCCGCCCCCCAAAAAAACCCAGCCTCGGCCTCCAAGGGTCGTGCGTCCTTGCCACGCGTCCTTACTATACGTTTTGACTGTACACCCTGCGAAATGCTTAAGAAATCATGGGTTAAGAAATTCAGAGTCTCAGAACTGGAATAAAAACCCAGAACTTCTATCAAAATCTGGGGATTTACATTGAAAAGTTAAGAATAATCGAGACTCTGGCCGAAAACTTGGGTTTTCTTAAGCATCGCCTAGGGTGTACGCTGCATCTTCGGAGCTCGCCCGTCCCCAAAGGCGGGGGTCCTCTCTCGTGCTCGACGCGGGCTCGGTGCGGGCTCGCGGCTCGACGCCGATTTCTGGGGCGAGTTCGACGGGGGTCTGGCGTGGACTCGACGCGGGTCCGACGTGGCTTCGACGCGCTCGATGCGGGCTCGGCGCCGCCTTGGCGCAGACTCGACGGGGGTCTGGCGCGGACTCGGCGTGGATCCGGCGTGGGCTCGACGCGGAGCTTCGACGAGGCCTCGGCACGGAGTCGACGCGGACGGGTGTGCGCGAGGCAACAGACAGGGGGCCCCCGAAGATGGAACAGAAGGGGCCGTTGCCGCCGCTGCCGCAGCCGCCGCCGCGGCCGCGATCCCAGCTCTCCGACGATCTGACATAGCTCCATCAAGTGGGCGCGAATTCAAAGGGGGGGCGATGCATGGGGGGGGGGGGGGAAGAAAGGTAGCCATTTCGAACCCCAAAGGCCCCTTTCTGGGTCCTCAATGGCCCCTGTGGAGGGCCTAAAGGGCCCCTTTTCTGCCCACCCATTCTGTCGCCCCCCCCATCACGCGGCCTCCAATTGCCGCCGCCGCCTCGGGCGCGACCCCAGCTCGTCAACGCTTTCTGATTCGGCGTTTCGGCATTCGGCGGAAAGGAGGGGGGAGGAGGAGGGGTGTCTGGCTCTGGACCTCTGCTTGATACGACTGTTTGCAACAGTGCGTCCTGCGGGGGGGACCCCACCTGCTTAAAAAACACGCGCCAAAAACAACCCAGATCTACTCCATGGGGGGAGGTGAGGGGAGGGGGGTTGCGAGGGCCCGCGCCGATCGACAAACAATGAATCAGATAACGATCGCCACTACGAGGCCTCCAATTGTCGCCGCCGCCGCCGCAGCCGCCGCGGGCGCGACTCTAGCTCTGGATCCGACGAGCTGATCTTGTGTCAGGTCGCGCATGTCCTCTGACAAGCGGATCCGGAAGGAAAACTGAAAAATACGCAACACAACGTCCAACCATAGCAACACAAATATCAAGAACTCGCTCCCAAACTAAAAAAAAAAAAAACGAATGATCCTGCCCGTAGAGGGACACGCCTGACTTCACTCTGGATCCGACGATCTGATCTTGCTCCCTCCCGCCATGCGTCCGCGGTGTCGGCCCTCCGGGGGAGGGCCCGCTCTCGGGTCCTCGGGGCTCCCCCTCTCGGGAGAAGGGGCCGGGGCCACCAGGGGGCCGCGGGTGGAGGCCCACTCCATTCGGGGATGGACAGACCCCCCTTTAGTAACACGTGGTTTAGTGAAAATCGACCTGAGGCCCAAACCTGGCGGGCGCAAGCCTGGCAAACAACGGCCACGGCGCCCTCTCGAGAACCGAAAACGGACCATTCACTAATCGACGTGTCACTGTTGGGGGTTCTGTCCACCCCCGATTCACGGGGAAAGCGATCGTTTCCTTGCTCGGCGAGAGTGGCGGAAGGACCTGGCTCTGGACCGCTGCTTACTGCGACTGCTTGCCGCAACGCGTCCTACGGGCCTACGATTAAGTCGGGCCTGTCCCCCCACAGGGGATTTTCGACGAAAATGTTTAAAAAAAATCCCCCGAAATACCCCCAAAAGGTAAAAAAAAAAAAAAAAAAAAAAAAAAAAAACTAAGAACAAATCCCCAGACTATGTTTGCGCTATTGTTTGATATTTTTGGTGTATTTTTCATTTGTCGTCGAAAATCCCCCTGTAGGGGGACACGTCCGCCGTAAGCCTGCGGGGGAGACCCCACCTGCTCGAAACAGGCGCCAGAACCAGCCAAGATCTGCTCCATGGGGGGGGGGAGGGGGCGGGTGCCAAGGCCCGCGCCGATCGGCAAAGCAATGACGGAGAAGACTTGAGCAGGGACCGACCGTCCCGGCATTCCTATAGCCATACCACGAAGTGCTCTCAGAACCCAGAAATGTTCGGAGAACAAGAACAACGTTCTTAGAACGTGAACCCGATGTGCTAAAACAGGACAGACTCCGCCAGAAATGCTCTGAGAGCAGTTCGTGGAAACCACAAAAAAGGTTCTTAGAACATTGCTTGGTGGGGCTATATAGGCGAGCCAGGACGCTTCGCCGCTGCTTGAAAGACGAGCGCATGCCATGACGCGTTAACCCTTCAGCTTGACACTTCACCGGCTGCACGGACGAGTGGCGGCTGCGTCTCTCGAGCTTCGGCACTGCTCACCTGCCCCCGGCACCCCTCCCTGGCTGCTTGAACGGAGTGCGGCCCCCCTCCTCCCTCCTCCCTCCTCCCTCCTCCCTCCTCCCTCCTCCCTCCTCCCTCCTCTGCCACGCCAAGCGGTCGAACCGCCCTCTTCTGATCGCTGACAGTGGCAGTGACAGCGCCAATGCCCGTACGAGGGCCCACACGAGGGGAGAGAAGTGTAGTCAGCGGGGCCGGAGCTCGCGGAATATCAGGAGAATGCTGGTGCAGCACCGGGCCGGGGCTGCCGAGCCCGAGCCTGCCGAGGATGCAGAGCGGGGGAAAGCAAAAAGGTACTCCAGATTTCGTAATAAAAGGGAGGGGGTCTGGACCCTCCAAGACAAGCCACTTCAGACCCCCCCCTGTGGGAGAACCCTCCAAAACATCGTCCCCAGACCCCCCCAGGCCCTCCAAGATAGCCTGGAAGAGACCCCCCTCCGAAATGAGACCCCCCTCCCTTTCTTACGAAATCTGGAGTACCGATGCCGCTATACTCCCCTGGACCTCTCCCGCGAAGCGCTCTGACCATGCTGTCGAGGCGAACCCGGCGGTGGCGACGAGGGCCTCCCTCCCCAGACCCCCGACGTAATGATTTTTTCATTACGTCGACCCCCGTAGGTCCCGACCCTTTCCCCATGACCGGCTTTGCATCCTGAGTCGTTGTTTGACACTCCCGAGGCCCGGTGAGGGCCCCCCGAGGCCGAAAATTTGGAAAAACCTCCCGTCATGATTTTTTCACTACTCGAGGGGGTCTGGGTCCCTCCCCAGGCTCGACCTCGACTGCACGGGCGACCGCAGGGCTCCCGCCCTCCAGGCCCGCCGCTCCACGCATCGCGCGGGGCCGCCGGGCCCCATTCCACTTTTTTACGATGCGAACAGGGCGCCCCGCGGCTGAAGAGAGAGGAGGAGGAGGAGGAGGAGGAGGGGGGAGGAGGTGCACCGAATTACGAATTAACTAGTCTGGCGGCCCCGGCCGAGCCCGCAGCCGCGCCTCCAAGGCGGCCCGCCAAGCCTCCGAGCCACCGCCGGCACGCACCGCCGGCGTCAGCAGCAGCATCGCCGCCCGCGGGGGCAGCGCCAGCGCCCACCCCGGGCAGGGCCTCGCCGACAGCTGCGCCCACCGCGCCGCCGAAGCGCCGCCACGCAGGCACGCCACCCAGCCGGGGCCCTGCGCAGCTGCGTGCACCCTCCATGCGGCGCCTGCGAAGAGGGCGCGCGCTGCCTCGGCCGGCGCAGGAGGCGCGACGGCCCCGCCGGCCTCAATCGCTGCCCGGGTCCGCCGGCGCGGCGGCGGAGGGGGAGCCGGCGCCGCCTGCGCCGCGGGCGGCGGCTGAGCCCTCCTGGCGGCGCGGGGCCCTCGCGCGGCCGTCCAGCGGCGGCGCACGCGCGGGCCCTCGGGCCCGCGGCTCTCGTGGTTGGCTCGCAAGGCCGCCAGCTCGACCGCGGCGAGCACGCGCTGCGCCGCGGCCAGCGCCGTCAGCTGGAAGTCGCGTTCCAAGCAGAGCGCGGGCGGGGGGAGGCGGACCCTGGCCGCTTCTCCCGCCAGGCGGTCGGCGGCCGCATTGCCCGCCCTGTCCTCAGCGGACAGCCCCCGGGCGAGCGCTTCCTCGGCAGTCGTGTGGCCCTTGACCCAGCGCGCCGTGAGGAAGCCGCTCCGGCTGTGCTCCGCGACTCGCTCCCAAAGGTCGGAGTGCGTCCAGTCGAGGTAGCGCGCGCCGGCGCGCAGGGCGGCAACGCCATTGCGGACGTAGCGGGAGTCCGCGATGACCTCTACGGGCGCCCCCGCAGGGCTGACAGCTTGGACCGCGGCGGTCAGCTCAGCCCGCTGCGCGGTCTGCGCCGCGTCCACCGGCCCGCAGTGGTCGCTCGTGCCGCGGGGTCCTTCCAGGCGCAGCCCCCAAGCCGCCCGGCCCATCAGCGGGTCCTGTGGCCGCTCGCACGCCCCGTCAGTCCAAGCCCTCCTGCGCGACTGGGGCGGCACGGGCATCTGGGCCGCCGGGAGCGGGGCTAGCGGCAGAGCCCGTGTGGCCTCCTCGGCGAGGGCGGCGAGCCGGACATCCGTCGCCAGCACGCCCGTGTTCGCCACGCCCGGCGGCAGCCGCGCGCGCAGCGCGGCCTGCGAGATCCGCGCCGTCGCCAGGGCGGCGGCCCTGTCGGCGCCCCAGGCTGGGCAGACCCAGAAGCGGTGCTCGCGATCCTCGCAGGCGGCGCCGCAGTGCGGGCATCTGGCCGGCTTGCCCCACTTCGCCGCCACCGATTCTGTCACGACGTTCCCAGACAGCACTGCGCGCAAGGCCCCTGCCGCGTCCGGCGCGA